TGTGAATTCAATGGTATCCTCAACTTATATAAAAATTAATTAATTAATGTTACTTTTTGGCTAGATTGAATTGGAAAGGGAAAGAATAGCTTTGGAATTGAAAGAGGAGAAGAAAGCTCAAGTTAAAGAGTAAAGTAGCAGGACAAGAAAAATAAAAGCTTTTTAATCATCTACCAAGCCAAGAAAAAGAGTAAAGTTGAATGTATCAAACGTATTTCCTTGATGACATAAAAGTTTTTCCCTCATCAACCATATTTTTTATTCTAGTATTATCATTTTTGTATACATCTTTCAAACACTTCTTGCTTTCTAAAAAAAATATTTACTTTAATGATTTTGCTTGGAAAAGCATTTTATTGTCATTAAATTTTGAATTTATTGTATATTCATGTATATGTGTGTAATAGCCCTGCAATTTAAGATAAATTAAAATTTATGATAAGAGCAACTAGCTAGAGACCAAAAGCATTGAAACTCTTCGTCCTTAATTCTTGTCCTCCGCTCTCCTCCCTTTCTATATTCAATCATCACCGGCGTGAGTATCTACCGTTCGTCTATTCATCTACCGCTGGTAGGTGTTAGAGTTCGTTTGCTGCTGCTAAACATCGACTGAAAATCCCCCCATTCTTCCCTTGCTTCAAGCTCACCATTCATGTCATGTTGAGGAGTGCATCGGGTCTCCTTCGTCTACCTTGTGTAACACCATCAACCTCTTCTTTTCTGCTTCTTGTTTGTGTGCCATTGTTAAAACTTTCTCCCCTATTCGGCCATAGTTTCGCTTCCTTCTTTGCTTCTAGCTTTTCTGAATATAGGGTGTGTGGAGGATGAGTACTTTGTTGAGAATTGAGGGAGCAAATTATTGCATTTTGGAATTTAATAGGTAAATGAATAGCACTCCAGTTGATTTATTAATAAAAGTTTTTTCATTGTAACTATTACATTTTTTATGTATATTATTTCTATTAACAACTATGATAAATATCAGTTACCTTGTTAATTAAATTATTTTTTTAAGAAATTATAGAATAATGTTAAGGGATAACTAAATTATGATTTGTATTAGTATTTTTCTTAAGAGATATATTTTTAAGGTTGATGAAGGCATTCTTATTTATTTAATTTTGGAAATTTTTGGCCACTCAACAAATGCAAGAATGGACATTATTTATAAAATTTTATTTTGACAAGTATCGAATTAGAACTTAAGATGACTCATACAAGTTTGGTATTGAGAATGAAAATTATATTTCAAAAATGATTATTTTTCTCGCATGTTCGAAAATTGATGTTGAGAGAGGACTTTAAGCAGAACATTATTGTTAACAGCAATTCTATTAGTCCTTGGCATGCTTTGATCAATGACTAGCTAATTGAATCTTCATAAGCTATGTTTTCACGTCTGTTATTCATTAATCTTACACCTGTGTTTGTTTCATGGCTTTGATCACGTCTGGTTAGTTATCTTCGTAGACTGTATGTCTAGTATCTTTGAAAACATCTGGTTAGTTACACTCATGGACTGTGTGTTTACATTTATCTTCGTGGCATAAGTCGCGTCTGGTTATTTTACCTTCATGAACTATGTGTTCACATTTATTACCTATTCTGTTAAATTCTCTAAATTCTATATTTTTAACTAACTTAGGTATTTGAAATGTCATTGCTTTCAGTTAGTAAGTATGCTACTTTGATTTACATATGGATAATTTATTTTCTTCAAGTATGATAGAATAAAGCAATTTTAGTTCACTCTCAATTTATGATTATGATTAAGGTTTATAGGTTTATTAAGTTTATTATATTGAATTATCATTTTTTAATTATTTTACATAATTGTTTGATTTTATTATTTTTATTATTTTAAATTTTATTTTTGAGGATATTATTCAATTAAAAATATTTTGATCTCAGATTCATTAATTGATGTTGGACCTCTTGCTGATCATTGAAGGGCATACAACTATATTGGGTGAATATTTATATTTGAAAATGTCTTTTCTTTTGATGTAAATATTCAATGATGTGTTTTATTTTAAGATTATGTTTGAGGTACTCCACGTTAACTATAGATAGGATCTTGATTTTATTTTTTTTATGTTAGACTATTTGTTGCTAGGGAGTGTAGTTCTGAACTATTGAATGCATATTATAATATTTTTTGTTGTAGAGATTTCAAGAAATCCTATTTATAGGAAAAGTTTTATCAAATTTTTATAAAATACTGAAGCTTTAGTTATAATGAATATTATTAAGGATGTCATAATTTCAATATAAATTTAATTATGTTTTAGAAATAGAATAATTTTTCTATTTGAAACTTAAGAGATGTGTGATGTGATTCACCTTACGTGCTAGTCACCCTCTATTTTTTGAGCGTGATAATATATTATTATTGTTAGTTGGAATTTGTTTCTAAGTGCTTATAGTTATGTAATTTACAATGCATAGGGTTGCTAGATAGGCAATCCCTTATTTTTAAAAATTTGATTATAATATTCAATAGTTACGAAGGAAAATCATTGAATATTTTTTATAGTGAGCAGTTATGTCACACAACCATTTTATATTGCAAACTATTCAACAATTTTGAGACCATAACTGTTGAAATTTCTCATAATATTCAACAATTCTGAGACTACAATGGTTAAATATTGCCTCTCAGAGATGCTAACCAAAATCTTTGAAACAAATTAAATATTCAATGGTTTTTTAAACAAATTAAATATTCAACCATTTTTTGTCAAAAAAAAATGTTTGAATAAAGGCACCAAGAACATTTAGCGTCAGGTTACTCAAAAATTTATAACCGTTAAATATTAGCTAAAACAACTATTTTATATTTATATATATATATATATATATATTTTGTAGTAGTGCTTCCTTTTCACCGGATTGAACAACACAAGAAAAGACAAGAAACAGTGACCAAACTATAATAGAAAATTTTCAGATCCACGGTCACAATTAACATTCGCAATAATAAAAAATGTAGATCCACACTTCAAAACAAGTAAAAAAATCAAAATTGAAAATAAAAAAAATCCATAGAGGATGAAGCTTTGGCGGACACCCATCAGCCCTTTCGATTGTCGTAAGGGAAAAAGAGAAGTACAGGATGAAGGAAGAGTAGGAAGATGCTGTTTATCAATCAAAAATGCAAAGTAAGAGATAAGACGAAGGAGGAATCACCTTCATCACATCCCGGTCACTGTGCTTCTTCACAAGAAGCTGAGCCATCCCTGGAATAGGTAAATCCAAGACATATGGGTTGAGCCATTGCCGAAGAAGGTGAATCTAGGAGATCTAGGTTGAGCCATCACTAGAGTTGGTGAAAGAGATCTAGGAGCTACGAAGCTAGGATGGATATGCATCTCTCTCAATAAGTGGCTCTGCGAGCAGAGTGAATTTGAGAAATCAGAGCATGGAGGGTAAGCAAAACAAAACAAAAGGAGATAACAAACGTCTGAACTATTTAATGGTTTAGTTACTTTTGCACTCATTAAAATAACTTCATGAAAACTCTTGTACATTTCTTTATTTAAGGATATTAAGTGTGTTTGGAGAAAAAGTTACTAGATATTTTTGCCTCTTTGTCCCTATATATGTAAACATTAGCTATGCTTTACTAGAAATATATAGGAACTATATATACGTATAATTTCTAACAAGTTCAATTGCACTAAAGTTGAAAAAAAAAAAAAGTGCTTTCTTAGAAGCTCTCCTTAGCTTCTTACCAATTGATGCCACAGATGATTGTGATTAAATCAAAGGATTACATATATAGGAAGTGATGACATGTGTTGTGTGCATTTATGAGTGAGTGCATCTCCTTTTTTGAGGAAGGCTTAGGTTAGGGATAAAATTTTTCTTTAAAAGAAATTTAAAAAAATGATATTTAATTTAAAAAGTTTTAATTATTTAAAAAGATGAACGACTACCCAATTGAAGCTGAAAGTCATATGTGTATTCACACACACACACACACACCATCTTCTTTGAGATGTGAGAAAATCTTGTACCATTAATATATATATATATATATATATCTTTTGATATAATATTTAACTGATATTCATGTTCAAGCATTGTCAGTGTATAGCTTTTTTAAAGGCGTTTTTTATATTTATAAGAACTTGAAATTGAAGCCTCACCTTTAATTAAGTGATTATAATCCTTTTGATTAGAATCAATGCTTGTTGATCATATATATATATATATATCAATGTATATATCCATATCAATGTACCTATCCATAATTATTTTTGACAAATATTTGCAAGCATCAATGCTTTGATTTGTGCTTTAAGCATGCAAAATCAAACTTAAATTATTCTCAAAATGTTCTTGCGATATCCAATCATTGATTTCCTTCCTTTTCAAGTACTTCTTCCTGGAAACAATTAGGCAATTCTATTATTGAAATGACTAGATTAAGTCTGGGAAATATATATATATATATATATATAAGTATTTATGAATAGTGCAGTTTCGTAAAAATTTTATATGGTCAAAATGCATATATATAAATATATGTTTTGGTATTTTTAGTTAAAAGTTTTGATTTGATTTTTAATTCCCATTTCAAATAAATGGCAATGATTAAAGTTCCGGATTTATCTCGTAGAAATATATTATGGAGAGCGAATTCATAGTCAACGAAACCTATGGCGTTAACTTTGATTAGAATGGAAAAACGTACCAAAAAGGAAAAACTTTGGATGCTTACTTTGAAATTAAATGGACAAAATAAGATCTTAAAATGAAATTAGAGGGACCTAGAGCTGCATCAATTAACTTAAAAAAAAAAAAGCAAGGGAAACGAAGCTGAAAAATCAAGTTCTGCAAGTGAATGCAGACAACAAATGACAGATCGCCATGTGTATATGTATGTTTGCATGTGTGTTATTTTTTATTGTCATTTTTCATCCATATATATATATATATATATGCATGCCTTCTGCTTCTTCTTCGCCTCTTTGTTTTAAAGCCTGCGAGTTTCGCGATAGCCCAAACTCATGACTTCCCGGGGTTCCCACTGTAAGTCTCCTTCTCTAGCTATTGATCAATTCCTTCATGTTTGTATCATCCTTGTCCTCGTTCGTTTTCAATTCCTCTTATTTCTTTGCAATAATGAAAGTATATATCATCAGATCAGTGCTAGTTAGTTAATTCTAAAACATCACCCTTGCCCTGTCCCTGTTTCTGTATGTCATCATTGCTTGCTACGTATATGTCTTCTTCGTTGTTTCTTAGTTTGTGACTTCACTTTTAATTACTATCAAAAGCTTGATGGATTATTTATGCTCGGCTCATACGGTGAACGTTAATTATGAACTTTGATATCTATATATATGTGTGTGTGTATATATATATAGATATGACAAGCTAGTGTGATATTTTCTTTCCCTTTTTGATTTTCTTCTTCTTCTTCTTCTTTTCTGGTTGTCAAGATTTGCATTTCCTCGCAGGATATCTTGGCGTGGCTTTAATTTGATCACAATTAGTGTTGGTTAATTAGGTACTTCCTCTTATGCTGATCAATATTCTTTTTCTTCAGCTTTTACTTTTTATAGTTTCTGACAGTACAACATGTGCATGCAGGGCCAATAATAATTAATATGTATGCCATAGATATTTTAAAATATGAGATATAAAGTAGAGTTGCAATCGTAGATTCATAGCCTAAAAAAATAACTTGTATTGATTTTTATAGAGAAAAAAAAATGTTAGGTACGTTACGTACGTATACGTATTATCTGTCTCAAAGTCTCAACATTTATTTATAGTATATTTGAACACTTCTATTATTTTGATATATGTAGAATATATTCTGTTGCCTAATTTATAAGTTCAGCACAACACGTTTCTTTATCAGCGATTAATTGATGTTTATGCACTGAACTTTCTAAAATATTGTAACATGCACTTGATTATTAGATATCCAAACATTTTATTAATACGATATATTCATGTATCGTGTGTGTGTCTAAAAAAATTAGAAAATTTAAATATGTTGTTTGCTTGATAATATCTCGAATTTCATGCTCTATTGGCTTATTTTAAAGGGAATGGGTTTAATAATTTATATAAACATAAATTGATTCACACACACACTTTTTCAAAACACGCCTGCATAGAGATAACATATTAAAATAGGGAATGGTTTCATGGTAATTGATCTTTCAATTGAGAAAGATCATAAGCTTTTACTTTAATTCTCTTTAGTGGAATTCATTGTCCTTGCCTGCATAATAATGTCTCTTTCACGACTTTATATGTCAACCACCACTTTCTAGGATCTCCATTTATATTTAATTTTTTTATTACTTATTATTTTAGTTCTATCCTACTTTTCTTTTTCTTGTTTGTATTGATTTTCTTTTTCATTTTATATTTATATCTATATATATAGTCAAATAAGTTATTATTAAAATATGTTTAACGTTTTGCTCACCCCAAAAAAATATATTTATTTCTTATTTTTTTTAATTTGTACGTCTCTTGCAATTGTTGATTTTAATAATTATCAAATATATATCAAAATTTTATATTAAGATTTAAAATTAGGCGGGTATCCCCAAAGTTATAAAGAATCTAAAAAAATGAGTTTTGTGGATAATATTACTGATTCTAAATTTTACATTTTATGATTAATGCTTAATTTCAAGGAAAAAAAATTGAGATGAGAGAATTCGACAAATAGGAAAATTAATAATCACATGAGTAACTGACCTTAGCTGGTCATCATGAGAAGAATTTCTCACTATCAAACAATGTGAAGGTATATAACTGTTTTTTTATTGATAGTAGAATAATCATAAAGTCATGATAGATTATCATGTAAGAATTAAATTATAACAATAATAAACTTGGAAGAGTACAACTAAATAAAAATAAACTAGGATCTCTATGACTTGTCTTTCTGAACAAACATGGAATTGTAATATGGCAAAGGCATTGCTTGGATTTGAAAAGCTAATTAAGACTGAATTCATGTACAGGTCTCTCTGCAAGATTCTATTCTGAACTCTACAATGGGATTCGAAATTCAATCATCAGCATACTCGAACCTCCAGTCAATCTTGGTATCTGAGTTGCAAGAGAACAAAGAAGCAATTTTATGTTCCTACGCTTCATGGCTTGTAAGCTTTAAAGCTTACTCTCTCATCCAATTAATCATGTTCACATTTTTTTTTTTTAAATCATTCTATCTCTTAATATCTCGCTTCAGTATTCTTTTTTATCACAGTTTCCTTTTTAAAGGAATTTCTTCACATGATATGAAATATGAATTAAATTGCATTTTTAGTTATTTCAGAAAATATTAATTAAGGCTCTATAATTTATAACATTGACAGTTAGAGCCCTTAAAAATATACTTGATTTTCTGATCTCAATACTACAGAAATTTTTTAAATCCTTTATTACCTCTAGATGAAAGCGTTCTTTTGACATTGTAAAACACTCAAATTATAACCTTAGAAAAAAAGAATAATAACTTTAGGAAGCACTAATAGTAACTAATTGTAATTCCATGTACTATGTTGCAGTCATTATTCACAACTTATGAATAATGCAATTTGTTAAAGTTTTATATCCTAGATTGAGTTATTTTTGTCACTTTAGAGAGAAACGACTGCAATTGTAGAAGTTTTGAAGTCTCGAGAACACTACAAGCCAGGGTCATTAAGCATCATTTTCGCAGCTAGGCTTCTTCTTCTTCTCCCTTTTTTCCTGTAATTCTCCATTGGTTAGGAACTAAGTTGTGCACATTTTTAACTATGAGAATATCTAAACCCAAGCATACTTTGGAGTGATGCGTTTGAATTTAAGTACCCTTTTGCTTGCTCGTTGCTAAAATGGCCTAGTATTGGCCTCTCTCCATGGTTTTTCTGAGTTACTTGTGAAGTAACCCAATGATCTGATGCTGACAGGAAAAGCATCCCTCTGCACTGGACAAGTTTGAGGAAATGATGAGCATCGCCAAAGACAAAGAGATTGTTGTGTTTCTGGACTATGATGGAACTCTATCTCCCATTGTTGATGACCCTGATCGTGCTAATATGACTGATGCTGTAAGTGCTTTCCCTATTAGCAAACAACACCATAGCATCAGGAACATTACAAGTCATTATTAGAGTTGGTGCTTTTAAAAGTTCAAGTGATCCTTGATGAATATCGTTTTCACTCCCAAATTTGCAACATACATGATTTTGCAGATGCGCACAGCAGTAAATGAAGTTGCTTGTTGCTTTCCTACTGCAATTGTCAGTGGAAGGAGTCGGAAAAAGGTGTGGCTAAGAATTGGTTATCCACTACTCAGGCATCTCATTTTGAAGCATGCATTATTTTATTCTAGTTTTCTATTTCTTATTTACAATTCAAGACATTAACTTTGACATGTAGGTACGTGAATTTGTGAGGTTAAGAAATATCTACTATGCTGGAAGTCATGGGATGGATATATCAACTCCAAAAGGCTCCTCAAAAGCTGAAGACCAGAAACATCAGACTAGGGCTGTTGATGAAAAGGTTCCTTAAAGTTTACTTTTTACCTGGTAGGCTCTTCAAAGGATGCTTTTTCTGTTTCATATGATTTATAAGGTTTTCCATTTGTAGGGTAATCAAGTAGTTCACTTTCATCCTGCAGGAGAATTCCTGCCAACCATCAAGGAGGTAACTTTCTTTCTTTCTTTTTTCTTTTTTTGTTTTAAATAACAAGAACAAATTGCATTCATCTTGTTAAGTTTAACAAACTTTCCCAACGTAGTACGAATTTGTGGCAGATAATTCAGGTTCTGAAAGAAAATGTTCTAACGGTAAATGGGTCCAAGATAGAAGATAATATGTTCTGCATCACCGTACACTACAGGCTTGTGAAAAATGAAAAGGTAACGACAATATTCAGAGTACCAGATTTAAAAAACAGATTAAAAAACCTGATGCAGAATATGAGGAGCATAATTCATGTTCAGATGGTGATATTGTTGCTTTCAAATCATAGGAAATTGAAATTCTCAGAAAGATGGTGGAATCTATCATGGAAGCTTACCCCAATTTTCACATATCAGTAGGAAGAAAGGTAACTTCAACCAGTCACTATATGCTTACAAAGAGATTCTTAAGAACATACAGACAAAAACTATTGGATTAATCGTTTATATATGATAAAGCGTTCTATGGTTTTTCTTGGACTTCAAACTAAAATTTTCAAACTCTTACTCAGGTTATAGAGATACGCCCAAATATAAGTTGGGATAAAGGTTGTGCTGTGCAGTATTTGCTTGGCACTCTTGGCTTTGACAGCTTTGACAAGGTCATACCACTGTACATAGGGGATGATACAACTGATGAGGACGCCTTTAAGGTATGCTTTAATGATCTTTTGAATATTATAGGGATGTTTTAAATTTGTGACCTTCTCTTATTGAAAATATCTTTGTACCATCTAGAATACTAAATTATAGGAGATCAATTAATTTAAGTTAAGTTCCAACCAACTTTAGAGTATCAACAAAGTCTCTTGGTTCTTTAGTGATAATAAGTCTAATAGGAATTTGTAAATTTGACTCTCAATTTTGCAACTTACTTGCAATGAATTTGTAACTTATTTTTCAAATTTTAATAGGAAATACGAATGTTCATCTTTAATATTGATAAGTATTAAATCTAATAGTGTGAAGAATTTGCATGTCTGACCCCCCATTTTGCAATATTATTGTAATAAATTTGTAACTTGTTTTCCTAATTTTAATAAGGAACACAAATTTTAACAAGCACATTTACAAGAATTTACAAGCTAAGCTCCCAATTTTATAACTTCATTATGAATACATCACAACTTATTTTCTAAATTTTAATAGAGAATAAAAATGTTCATTTTTAATATTGAAAAATATTAAGTCTATTATTTATTCTTTGCTTATTTATAAATAAAATAGTTTAGATCATTCATTTTTTCATTGTCTATTATTTATTCTTCAACTTTATTAAAATTTAGAAAACAAATTATGAATACATTATAACAAAGTTATAAAATCAAAAGCTAAATTTATAAATATCTAGAGTTGTCAAACTTATTACAATTGAAAGACTAAGAGGCTTTGCTAATACTTTGAAATTGGTTAGGACTTAAATTAGTTGCTCTCCTTGAGACTTAACTATCATTCTCTCTTATAACTTTAAGAGAGCATGTGTAGTAATTTTAGGAAGCATCAACAATGCTAATAAATTGATAATAACAGCATCTCCAAGGATAAGAATAAAGGTTTCTACCTTAAAGAAACATACACGTAGCAAGTAAACCTAAGTTGCAAGTTGAGATAGGGGTATTTAACATGTGGATAACTGCAGATTGTTAGACACATTGGACAAGGTTTTCCAATCATTGTTTCGTCAAAAGCAAAGGAGACCAAAGCTTCCTATTCTCTGCGTGATCCAGATGATGTTCTGTCTTTCTTAATACGTCTTGCTAAGTGGGGGAAAAGCTTGATATAGAGCTAATGAGACGAGCTTCAGAGGCAGTTATGCAGACAAAAATAGGCTAATTTGCATTTGTTTTCTGCATACTGAGAAAACGAAAGCAATAAAGGTTTAAAAGCATGGTGGTACTAACTCGGAGGCATGCTATAGAAGAAACAAACATGAAAGATTGGTAAGTTTTAGGATGGAGAGTTTTTCGTTTTTGGTTTAAGTTGTGTAAAGAGGGCAAGGACTAAGAAGTTGTCTTAGGGATAAAACCATTCTTTCCTAGAGAAGACTGGTGAGAACTTAAGAGATCGAATACTTAAAATACTTCGTCCCAATATAATGGACTAAGTAATCTATCCTCGCAAGGGGAATTCTTGTTCATCTATGTTCGTATTTTATTTTTATGAATGTGATCTTTCATATTTATGTCTTTCACTAAGCTTTCATAGTGCATTGTTATCATTCTTGAAGTTTTGCTGCAGAGAATAATAATTTGTAGTTAATAAGTAAATGCAATCTCTTGTTATTATTTATGAGAAAGGAAGGTACATTTTATTTTTGTCAGATTCACAAAAACAAAAATTTAGAGCTTGTTTGATTTCTATTCTTATTTTTGTTTTCAAAAACCGTTTTGTAATACAATTTTTAAAATTATTTTTTAAAACAAAATACAATGAAAATTTGTTTAGTTATGTCAATTAAAAAATAATTTTAGAATTAAAAAAATGGACTAATATTTACAGTTATAGATAGTTAATGATGGTGATTAATAATAAAAATTGATTAAAATATTATAATTTTTAATAATTAAATGTAGTGTATTTTAAAAAATAAGAAAAATAAAAAAAATAACTTGTAGTTGTTTCTATTTTTTTATTTAAAAAAATAAAAATAATTTTAAAAACAATTAAATGAAAAACACTTATTCAAATAAGTTTTTAAATTTTTTATACTTTTAAAAATAAAAAATAATTTTTAAAAACAAAAAACAAACATGCCCTTAATTTACCTCATTCTCCTTTTCCTTTTACGTCAAATAACGGGCAATAAGATTTGTATAAGGGGAGAATTACAGTTAGATCTCATACAAAAAAATTAATTACTGTAAGGTTCATTGACAATTAAACTAAATTGCATTAATATGTGTTGTCAATGCAATTTAGTTCAGTTATCAATGAACTTTACAGTAATTAATTTCCTTGTGTGAGAGTTTAATATCATTCTCCCTTGTATAAATTTACATTCTTTCTACTTGAGAAATCGAATTGCTTCTGGCATTTTGTTCATGGCAAAGAGATGAGATATTTGGAAAAAAAAATAATATTTTTAGTCTTTATACTTTACTCAAATTTTAATATAAATCTCCATATTTTTTTTAATTACAAGTCCCTACACTTTTTTCTATGTACAATGTTGGTCTCTATTTTTAGAGGAACGTTGACGTGAAACAAATGATATTAATAATGTTAATATATCAATTAACGTTGTTAATTTTGTGCTTACTTTGTCAAACTAATATTGACATAGATTTTTTAATAAGAAAAAAAATATAAAAAAGCCTACATCATATGAAATAAAAAGGTTAGCCTAAACTCTTAAACAATCAACAAAATGCACAAATTTTAAAAAGACTAGGACCCTTGTTTTTTAAGGCATAAAAAAGTCCATATCAACATTAGTTTGACACATAAGAACAAAATTAATGATATTAATTAGCATCTCAATATTATTAATATTGTTTGTGCTATATTAATGTCTTTCTAAACATGTAAGAGTTGCAAACGGAGAAAAATATAAAAATCGAAAACATTGAAAAAATATAACCAAAGCCCCAATAAAATGTAGGGATAAAAACTAATGTTTTTCCAAGTATTTATGTCATTCTTGATTCCTCATGACCTTGAAGTCCCTAAATTTGTAAAATAGACCCCAGACCTTTCAAGTTATCATACTAATTATGGGATTAGTTACGTGTTTGACGTTAGAAAATTGTAGTTTTCCATACCCAAAAAGAAATATCTAGAACACCACCAGTAATCAATTCCACTTAGCATATATACTCAAGAAAACATTTTGCAATAGAAAAAAAAAAAAAAAAGGAATCACATCCCATAATTAGCACGGAGTTTTAGGATTCATAAATCATATCTACAACAGAAATAGATTGGAGAAGCCGCGCCAAAAAAATGGCCTTTCTAAGTCTGACACGAACAGGAGGAAATGGAGTTTTAAGGTTTACTTGGTTTTTGTTACATTTTTTTGTTTTTAAAAACAATAAAGTTTTTAGAATTATTTTTCAAAACAAAACAAAACAAAAATCTATTTGGTTATATTAATTTAAAAATAATTTTAAAATTAAAAAATAACCTGAGAGTAATGATTATGAGTGATTATTGGTGATTGTTAACAATAGAAATTGATTAAATTAACTATATTTTTTTAATAATTAAATGTAAAATATTTTAAAAAAAATAAAATGAAAATAACTTCATGTAGCATTTGGATTGATGGATTTGAATTTAAATTTTAAATTTAAAATCTTGCATTTCAAATCTTACATTTAGATTCATATATTTAAAATCATTTGTTTGAATAGTTTAAAAAATTTTAAATGAGGAAGAAAGATGAAAGTTAAAAAATAAAAAATGAAAATTTATTCTCAATTTTTAATCAATAAATGAAAAAAATACGAAAATCATAGAATTATTAATAGTGAAAACAAAAAAAAACAAAATGTTTGAAATAATTAAAATTTCAAATAACTAAGGTATAAATAGTACTCCATCTGTTCAAACATGTAAGGCATTTTTAATCGAATCTCACTTTCAATAAAGTAGTTGCCTACTTTTCAACTAACCTTATCTTTTCATATTTACTCCTATTAAATACCCTACAATAAATATGAAATCATTATCAATAAAGGCATTTTTGAAGAAGAAAAAAAGATAATGACTACACCTTAAAAGACTAAAAATGTCATGCATTTTTGAACATTCAACTCCTCAAAAAATGTCTTACATTTTTTAATGAAGGAATATTTGAAATTACAAAAGAGTTCAAATCCAAATTTACAAATTTGTGTATTCAAATGAGGGACTTAATTTAAATTCAAATCCAAATATTTATTAATCCAAACACACCATCAAGATATTTTAATATTTTTGTTTTTAAAAACAAAAAATAAAAAAGTTTTAAAAAAATTAAATCCAAAATACTTAATGAAATGAGTTTTTTAATTTTTTATTTTTAGAAACATAAAACAGTTTGAAAACAAAAACCAACCAGGCCCCCAGATAACTAGACAATCAACTGAGTTAGGACAGCTAAGAAGAAAATATATAATCTCTATTGATCATTAAAACTTTACTTGAGAGGAGCAGTCTAGGAATGATATGGTTAATGAACCAAACAGATAAGAAAGGAATAGCTCAATAGGACAAACCTGGCAAAGCCAAGGGACACTAAAAAGCAGTTGAGAATGGAGCAACGTAGGTTTAAATGGCGTATTATTATCTTCTGATATTGTTACTGCTACATTGTAAACAGTGCTATAAAATTCGACGAAGAGCTACTGCATCCTCTAAAACAAATATCCTACTCCACTGTCAAGGAGAGTAGCTGGGGAAAACCTGTGACTGGGTAAGAAAAGATATCTAAATTCTGAACCTAAAGGCCGGTTTTCTAATCTGATACTGTTACAACTGTATCAACCTTCAATGACAAACTAACCACCAAGTTAGGCATCCCACTTTTGCCACCGTGGCTTCGTCCTTTGAACAAGGTGTTAGAAGAACAAATATAAACGAAGTTGGTTAATAGCTTGGTAAATGTACAAGCAACATCTGGGCCACGAAACAGGCAACTTTCACATGACAGATCAACTATAACTCGAACAAATAAATCTTCTCAGTCAAGAGTGGGCTGGGAACACGAATGACGCCTGATTGAGGATAGGGTTCTCCACTCAACTTGTCTCCCAGCTCCCAATAAGTAGGAAGAATATCCTCCTCTTTCAACCTGAAATCACTTCTCGGCCACCGGTCTGGCAAAATAATCAATGTCACCTGTAAAGAAATACAGCGTTAATACATCATAAAGAAATATAACTGACATGCGAATAATGATTAAAACTACAAATTTTAAAATAAACCAATATATATCATCACCAGGTAAATTCATCAGTATAGACATTTCTCCTGATAACACCTCTACAAGTAGAAAAAGAGTTCTAAACAATTACGTGGATCCTATCCAGCAAGTTTTCAGTAGTCAGACACATAGGTGTTTGCCATTAGGTTCTTTGATAAACATTACATGTTGGTTCCACTGTGCCATATATTCATCAAAATAAAAATACTCATGAAAACACCTAAAAACTGGACATGAGTTTTGCCAGTCATGCGAACATCTCATTGTTGCATGTGTCTTACACTTAATTGATTATTCTCTTTGGTCTTATCCAGTAAAAGGGGTGAACAAATGGGGAAAGCTACCTTGGGACGCGGGGTGAAGAGGGTTGATCTGGTGAAGATCGTTGAGCAGAACCTCCATGAAACCTTTGCTCCTCAAATGCTCCACCAGATCGGCTTCCATCATTTAGTGATAGTTCATGAACACCTGAGAAACCCATTGGTCCAAAAGATCCAAACTCCACATGCTCCGCTGGTGAACTGTAGCCAGTATTATGATCATAGGGGTACAGCATTACAACAGACGGCATTGTTGGTCCATTTGATGAGACCCCACTGGGGTTCATGCCAGGCAGAGAATACATCCCATATGCCACATTGGAAGAACTGTTCTGTGAGGAATTTGAGCGTACTGGACCATTCTGTGTGTGGTAAGACATGGAGGAGTCATGTCTATGTGACCGCCATGGCCTTTCAGCTCGGCTCTCACTTGTTGCCAACCTCTCTGGCTTTGAGTTTGGCCTCTCAGTTTGGTAGCGATTATGACCACGTCCAGTTGCTCGCAGCTTTGAGCTCATATTCCAGTTTCCTTCCCTATCACCATGGTGCTCACTCCTTTCATAGTTGTAATTTCCTCTTCGGGTTGTGGATTGTCGATCTCGAGCAGAAACTTTCTGAAGTAAATGAACAAAAGGCATAATAATATAAATGCCAAAATGAGCAGACTGTAGCATATATCTAATATGTAAGTCGTGAAAAATAAACACATAGGATTAGCTGTATACTGGGCTCATTAAAAAAATAAAAATTAAAAATTTTCACTAACATAATATTTATGTAAAACGATAGCTTCTATTTTCCTGATACGAAGACTATTAGTCATTACAGTTGCAAGCATTCCTGGGCTTCTCCAATTATATTCAGATGTGTGTGGGTAAAAAAAGCACAGAACAAATCAGAAAGTTTCTTGGAGACATCTTACAGGATTTGGCAGGTAGGTTCCAGTGCCACTTCGATAACGTGGCATCCCATCTGCAAAACGTTGGTAAACATTGGCAGGTCTGTTCAAAGCCGACTGGAGAGGAGCAACAGGTACTAATCGTGGCCCATAGTTCATAAACTGAGCAACAAGATTCACGTTAGTTGAATGGGGTCTTCCAGGACCATCCCAAGGAAAACGACCCTGCAAATAAACAGGAGGTGCAGGTGAAGGATAGATCATTGAAGGTGGATGGCGTGAGTTTTGACAAAACCGCCCATATTGCAAATTTTGCCAATGGCTCGCAAAGTCACTGTCAAGAATGTGAGACTTTTGCTCTGATGACTCACAAGTAGCTCTTCTAATAGAATTAGGAGGGCTTGACACTTGAGGCTGCTCATACCCCTCAGATGAATCAAAATTCTGACCAGAATCACTGTTATCCACCAATTCTTCCCCATTAAAATTGCCTGTTGATGTGTCAGAAGTTCCTGACTTAGTTGGAAAATTATACACTGGAAGCATAAAAAAGGGTACAGGTGGCCCCGTAGGATAAAATGCAAATGGAACAACCCCAGAATTATCAACTGCTCTTTGGCGAGAACCTCCACCTAAAAGCACTGGAGTTATAGGTATCAGTGAATCTGATTCACTTGTCTGAAATGGTTCGAATCCAGGTGCTTGATGCCTTGGGACATGCATGGAAGCAACAGCTGGGGCACCTGTACTTCTTTCTGCCATATTAGTTGTTGAAAAAGACGATCTTTCTCCGTTTTCATCATCTGCCAGGTTAGATGACATTTCCGATACATCCTTTCCCTTCCCATAACCAGTTGATACCCCTGAGGGGATATTCTTCCTACCTCTTTTTTCCTTTGTTGACTTTGAAAATTTTGCTGGTGATCCCTCCCAAGAGCTTTCAGAGGAAGTTTTAGTCTTGGAACTCAAAGGAGCACTGATTAACCTAGAATTTGCCATTCTATCATCGAAACAAACCTCATTTCCCCTGCTATCTTGATATTGAAAATTATCAACATGTTCTTCTCTTGTAAATCCTTTGTCTTCTTTAGTGAACTTCTGTTGATTTCTACCAGAACTACCAGAGCTGCTAACTCGGGATGATGAAACAAAGTTATAACTGCCAGAAGTTGACTGTTGTTTATCATCCAGAATCCCATTATCAACTTCAACCTCAGTAACAGGGCCCCGTTCTTGCTCATGCCAGAAACCACTATTGGCTGCTGGATTCATTTCAACAGCACTAAAACTATCATTACTGGTTTCAATTGTATCTTCAGGATTTGAAGTCAATCCTATGCCAGGGAAATATGGAGTCAATGAAGAAGGGACTAAACCTTGAGGAAACTGCATGTTTGTGCCCCAAGAAGCGTCAATCAAGGGAATACTACCCACATTTCGCTGTGCATATCCCATTGATGTAAGAATTGTAGGTGGAAATGGAAGTGGTAGATGACCTGGAGCTAAATTCACAGGAACATGAACACGATCACTAAAACCATGAGCTGTTGAAGATGCCATCATGTTCAAAAGATCTTGCTCCTCCTGAAGCATCATCTGAGATGCTCCTTTTCCAGCCAGAGACACAAAATCTCCACCCATTACACCAGAGGGTGAGTCACCATGGTAACTATTTGAGTCACTCTGAATATCAGCAGCATCATCAAGGACATGACTGGGTGATAAACGTGTAGAGGATGTATCATCAATTCTAACACCGTGGCTTGATGCCATGTCAGCTTCAAGATTCCTCCTATGAGTATTATCCAACCTTGCAGAGGAATTCTGCCCTTTCCCACTTTCTTGGGCCCTTGCAGAACTTCCTTGGGAGGAAACTTCATCATATGAATCAGTCAACTCAGGACTGGAGCGGGTTCTTGCAAATACAAATCTTCCTTGAATATCAATCATTGGATTATTGTGTTTAACATTTCCCTGACCTTTATCAACATAAGCATGCTGATTAGAACTGATTTCCCTTTTGACCTGGTCAGAGGTCCTTAAATTGTTTTGGTTGCTATGGGCCTTTCCACTTTGTGTATGTGATCCAGTAGAAGCATCACTACTCTTAAATGAGCTACTATGATGAGATGGGCCACTTCGTGAACCGTGTGTCCCTTCAGCTTGGTATTTACGATCACTGATATTTTCAATTTTTTGGCTGTTTTTCCTGAGATTCTGAGACCCCTGTAATTGGTCATGATTAGATAATCTCAAACTCCATAAGTCATTGCTTGGAGCATCAGGCCGCTGCCCATTTCCATGTCTGTCCCAAGTGTTCATAAAGAACTGATTGACCTCAGAATATAAGTCCTCCTTTGGGCAATCAAGTAATCTGGCAAGCCTTCTAGCCCCAAATGCAAAAGCACTACGTATCCTGTAGAAATTACCTGGGAAATATTAAAGGCCACAATCAAAGTAGGATAGAGTAATGATTGCTCAGGAAAAATCTAAGCACAAATAAACCCCTGGTATTAATAATGTCAACTGATACTCTCTTTCTTTGTTTTTTTTTCCCCGGTCGAGTCAACTGATACTCAATTAGTCCAAAAATTGGACTAACTTTCCCACAATATCTTTTATTCTGACTAAGTGAACATATTCAAAGTTCGTTTTATTTAAATTGTAAACGCAAGTGCCAAATTTTTTTGATACTATCAAGATAAAAAGCAACATTCCATAAATGTTAACAGTCCCATTCATCAGCTTAATAAGAAAATCCTGCATACACTCCAGTGAGAGACATGTGGAAACTTCATTGACCCTCTTGAAACTGATGTACAGACCAACGTGTATGTAAGGCCATTCATGAAAATCATCAATTCTTCATCATATTTTATAAAACACTAGACCACAGAAAAACAAGGAGGGAGGGAGGGGGAGGGGGGAGAGATTGAAAGAATAGTTTAAAACAGAAAAGAAGCAATCAATGGTACAGAGATGGTAGAAAAAGCTGCCATGTATCTTTAATTCATCCAGCACTCCAGCCTAATGAAGTTCCTTATTAACAGCTACGATGCCAAATCACTAACTAGCAATTTCGACAGATCCGCACAAAAACCATCACAATTCAAATGGAAACATGAGAAATAGCAAATCAAATGCATAAATGAATTAAATCCAAATTTTTGAGTCTAACCTTTGCTGACACTACGACCAAGGTTATTGTTAACACGCAAAGGATCAATAACATTAAAATGCTTGGAAACAAAGGTTTGCCCTTGATTTTCTTGACCGCCAGGGAAAACAGCATAAACTGAGCTACAAGCATCAAGAAACAACTTGCTAAGCAGTAAATCTCCACCATCTTTTCGAGGAGGTTCAGCTGTTTCAATCAATAAAATTGACCAAAATAAGCAAGGCTACTTTCATCATTATGAAGAAACAATCAACCAAACGCAACTACTTGTAACATCTGGGAGAGAACTAATGGGTACCGGACCCCATAGGCTTACGCAGAAATTATCCCAGTCAAACTTACTGAAAAACTCCAGAAAACGATACAATACCTGTAGTAGCCAAAACAATGCTACATTGTAAAGATTGCTGAAAATATTAAATTAAAGTAAAATATGCCATTCTTGGTACCTCAAGTGGTCCAGCAAAAGAATTGTTGAAAACATGAAATATGTAAAGAACCAAAGTTTCTAATGCATAAGTTGAGATGAGTCCATGGTGGGCACCAAGTATACGGCTCTCGTAATAACACCAGGCTTTTATCAGTATGATACTACGCTTGAATAAATGATTTTGGTTAATCAGATTATCAACCTACAGTAGCAAAAAAACGATTTTTTGTCAAGCTAAAAAAAAAAAAACCAGTATATCAAGGTCACATTTTCAAAGAGAAAGATGTGATGCAAAGCTTCTATAATGAACTAAATTACCTCCTCAAGAAAACAAAGGGTACATAACCCCCCAAGCTGGTTAAATGATATGTCAACCACAATATTTTCAACGAGACATTTTATAATCTTCACCTGAAAATAAACAAAATCCGAGCACAGTGTTCATTCTATAAATGATAAATGCAGAAACAAACAGCTTGTCCTTCAACATTCTAGAATATAAGTGCTAAGAAGAAATACATGGCAATAAATCTCCAGACCAATGATGCTGAAGTATATAAAATAATTTCAGTAATTATTAATTTCTATTACTGATATGAAAAATGGTTTTTCCAGCCAATATTTGCTTTCCTGATATTTTACATCCATAGCACTTGTATTTAATGGTTACTACTATATCAAGCTTCACATGCATAATATACCCAAAATCCAACATTCTTACAACTCTGGAAGACTGAAAACAATAAATTAATCATAAAATGCAACGCAATATCAGGTATGTTTGTTTAAAAGGTCATTCATACGACTTCCAAGAATTGGCCTTCCATTGATTCTTTCAATATGTACAAAAAAATACACAAGGACCTGTGCACAGACATTATATAGGATGGTATAATTTGTCATTCTGCAACTTTTGAGTACAAAATGATGAATGATGTGCCATTTCAAAATATTTGGAAGAACCATATCCACAAACATAACTTTATCATTACATAACTTTATCATTATATATTGACCACTTCCAAGTTATCCTCTTGGCGGTACACATACACAAGTACGACTTGGACCATCATATATGACTCTAAGCATAATTTCACCTAATATTTTAATTCTTGAATTAACAAAATCACATTCACTCATTGTATGCTCTCATCTTCTAGAATCTTTATTAATGTGAAGCAGCACAAGACCTCCAAATTTCACTTGGAGAAAAAAGATTCTAAAGCTAAGCATGGCACTAGATGCTAAACCACGTTCAGAAAGCAAGCACCATCACTGAGTTAGGTAGTTTAAGATTTAAAGCAGAATAAGCATTAAAATCAACAGTAGATAAGATGTTGCCTTATAATGGAACCTACTTCAGCCTGGATGTACTGGACCTCTTTCACATGGAACTCTGCATGCTCATTCTTCTCCTCACTCTCCAGCATATCACGAACCTGATGTGCCCATGTATCCTTCAAATTTTGATTTTTACTGAATGCCGTTAAGTCAATATCTCCATCAGGCAAATAAGTTTTAAGGGGCACAGACCCAAAGGTGAACACCTATAACAATAACAATCAATCAATCAATAATGCAAATAAATCTTGATGTTTTAAAATAATGAAGCCAGGGAAATAAAACAACTTCAGAATTGGTTAAGGCACATTACCAAAATTCAGTGTCAAGCCATGCCACAAATTTGTCATACATGCATTTTTTAATCATAATGGCATTCCAGGCTTAGGATTCTAATTTAGAGGCTAAATAGTAGAATCTAAATAGTGGCTAATACTGTTAACATAAGATAACATTATTCAAAATTGAAACCTTGATTACAATCCAAAAGTTCTTCAATGATGTAAAGATGTCAGCTTGTCAGAAGTTATAATATGCATGACTTACAAATCAATAGCTCTTAAGTGAGCAATAATAATTAAAAAAAAAACTGAGTAAACGATACAGAATATGTCTCTGCTTGTGCACATAAGACCCACCTGGCAGGGGAAGCACTTCATGATCAGCCGCTGCACATAGTCAGCAACTGCATTTCGACGTTCTTCAGAGGGTGGGTTAGGCTGAATGCAGGTAATGAGTTCTGCAGTCCTTTCTTCAGCCTTTAACCATCTCTCTGAGTCAAGCACTCGAATTACCGAGGCAGCCTCATTGGGCAACAGACCATTTGGCAATAGACCACCAGAGGGCTGTGCCCACCCCTCATGTTCGCCCATGCAAACCTAAGCTTTGCCTTTGCTTTCAATCTTTCAACCTTCAAACTCTCTAATAAACCTCCCACCGCAGGACAAGACACCACCACCAAAGACTTTCTGATAACTGCAACCAACGAAACCAATAAAAGCAAAAACATAAAAAGATCAGAGTAGATTATCCTCAATATCTTCCCTCAAAATTTCCAGCAATAAAACAAGCAAACAAAGACAGGATTTTATTTCTTCCGAGGTTTAAAAGTTATGGCAAGCACTGCAAATTCCCATGTAACCAATTCTAACTATTTTCGCCATAAAAGGCAAACAGATAGAACCCCCAAACAATATCAGTGCATCCACCTACTAGCTGATGAATCTTAAAGTTTTAAAAATGAATGAATAAATGAAACGAAAACCGATATAAACAGTAACAGCAACCTTTGAAAACTACAAACTAACTCAGAGGCGAGAAAAACTCGATGAATCCAAGCGGAAGCCTGAAAACTAGCAAAGGGGAAAAAAAAAACTATAATAAGAGGAATACATGATAGCTTAGATAATGAAATAAAACCCTAGAGGGAAACGGCTCAATCCCTACACAGTTGAAGTGTCGGCGAATCAGCAACGATGGCAGAAGCGTGGCGGGCACAGAGAAGCAATATGCAAATGCGGGAACAGATGCTTGAGCATCAAATCAAGTGGCTAATACAAATTATGCATCGATCAAAAACAAGGCTTAGCAAGGAGGGAGAAGTGCGCATGGAAATTGGGATTAAAGCCAATTGAGCAGAGAGAACGGGTTTCACGTTGAGGAAGCTATTGCACATAGCTATGTACATTATCAAGGGGTTTATGAAATGGAAAATATATTGGCAGGCACAGGATGATAGAATATGGGGAGAGAGAACAGAAGGAAAGAAATCAAAATTAAAATAATGTTAATGTTAACTTATAAAAGCTCTCATTGGCCTATGTCACTTGAAGAGATTTCCGTGGTTCAGCGAGGCCCATCATAGCGCCCTGCGTCCCAAAGTGGTAGTTAATTGAAGGGCTAAACGTAATGCAAGAACCTTGGCAAGTGAATTCAACTCGGCCTAAAAAAAACAATGAATTCTTTCTTTTTTCTTTTGAATCAGAAACATTGAATTCAAATACTATTTTAGAAGAAGATTACTAGATTTCACCTCTGTATTAGATGCTAAAGATTTTAAAATGATAACAATAATGAGATATCCGATTTAAAATTCATATAAGTAAGTAGTATAGTTATGATACCGGTATTATAGTTAATAGGAATATCAATTCTTACCGTGATAATATACATGCGTTATGCAAAGTTAAATTATTTGCGAGCCATTAATCATGTGATCATGTGATTTATCATATGAAACATGAAACTTACAATATAATTATATGTACCAATACATAGATTTGGCAATACAATAATCTAGTTTCGCCTAATTTATGTCACTTTTATGTATGTATAACTCATACATATGCTTGTTTGATGTAATAGAATTCAATAGTGTTTTTTCTTGTTTTGGATAAAACAAGTTAAAAGGTGCCATAAAAAGTATATATTTTTGCGAGAATTTTGTGATCGCTTAACTTATTTTTAAACTGTTATATTCCGCTTGCATTTAATTTCACTATTGTACTCATCTCTTACAAATTCCTATGTTATTGCCAACAAGTTTCATAAAACCTAGCAATGGTGAGTGGGATAGTAGGTTGAATGGCAATGATGACGAAAAAGATTTTGTCAAAGCCACAAATATTCTCATTGTGTTGTGTGTACGGGCTTGGGGAGTTTTTTAGATATGCTTTGATTTCAAAACCAAATCCCAAGCATGGAGCAATGTTTGGCAAAGATTGTATAATTGAGAATCATGAGCTGTATGTACTTGATCAAAAACCACCATTCCTATAATGGGGTGTAATTGATGAAAGTTTTGGTTTGTAATTTTCTCTAAACTTCTTGTCTTTGTTTCTCCTTTAAGTTTATTTACATGCACATGTCCCATTTAAAAAAAAATAGAGAGAGAGAGAGAGTGATGGACTACAAAATAATGAAGTAGTTAAAATAAAAGATTATATAACCTTTAGACGAAATTTGATCATTGTTATTAGCCCATTAATTATGGTGAAAGAACGTTTGTTGAGACTGCTACTATTTAGGAAGGTGGCTAATCATTGAATAGTATATATTTAGTTTTGTAATGATGGAAATGGATATTTAAGAGCGATCACTTTAAATAGTAACTATTTATTTTTAAATGCACAAAACATGCTTTTAGATATAATTAAAATGGAGGGGAAAAAACACTAAGTTTTTTCACACCTCTATTGTGATTAAAAAGAAGGAAAGGAGCATTGAAATGTTGAAAAATGAAAGTGATGAGTGGGTCACAAACTCATAGATCAAAGTAAAATGAAGAACATGGCTTATCAATACTACAAGAAGCTGTACACCAAGGATATAGGATCCATTTCTGATCCTATTGTAATTGCAAACTTCCCACGGCTGCAATTGAGAGTCGAAGACTTGGAGGATATATTCAAAGAGAGGCAAATGATGTGGAGATAAAGAATGTTGCCTTCTCACTTAGAGATTTTAAATTAATCATTAGGCTTAGGTGGAATTCAAATCTATTTTTTTCATACTTAATGGTCTATTGTTGAGGAGAAAATCTGTACTCTAGTTAAAAATATTATTTGTGATCATGAGAAAGTTAGAGAGACAAGTCAAACTAACATTGTCCTTCAACTCAAAATATAACACCTTACAAGTTTGAAGGAAAAGTCAACTCCAAAATCCTCACCAAGGTTCTTGCCTCAAGGATAAAGCCTTTTCTTGGCTATCTAATAAAACAAGAGCAATAATGTAGTAATTCATAGCTAGAAGGAAAACTTGTGATAATATTTTGATCACTCAAGAAGCCATCCATGCATGAGAATTACTAAGCAAATAATGATTAAAGTTTTAATACTCAAGGGTATAATTTTTATTGAATTAATGCGTAGAGATTAGGGTGATATTTAAATTTGTCAAGGTATCAAATTGTAAATATTACAAACTTAAATCTATAAATAAGAGTTGTGATCATTCATCCAATTAGTTAGAATGTTCTCATTCCTCCCTTGTGGGAACATTCAAAAGTTCTCTCTGATGACAAATCTAAAAAATACAACCACTTGCAAGTTTAAATAACAAATCAAACTGATAAATTCAAGTACCCTTCTATGTTTAATCTCTATTCCTCAAAATTGATATATGGTTGGTCATATGGGATTATATATAGATTGGAATATTTTTCTATGGCTCCTTCAAATCTATCATTAGCTTATCTTGATTTTCTTTTCTCAAGCTTGGGTTTGCCTTGTGGCTATATATATATATATATGCACGCGCGCACGTACATCTTCATTTATTTTCCTATTTCAACACTTAATTCATTGAGAAGATGATTGTCATATCAAACAAGATACCAATAAAACCATTTTGATGAGCTAGTTTAATTTCTATTAATACATTACACACCAACCTAAACTTTTCAGACCACTAATTTCATTCAACTCCATTTATGTGAAGTTCAAGGTAATTTTTTTAAAAAATGGTACAGAAATTGAATAAATAAGTGGACTGTCAATGATGGTCATCCATTGTAATTGTGTTTAATATGTAGATGATATATTGAACCTCGCAATATCACATGCATTCCACTAAATTCCCAAAATGGAATGACATTGGAGTGAAGGTTGCATGTTCCATCCTATGGAATATGGAACATGTGAGTGGATTATAAATCATTTTTTCATGATAAAAATTAAATAAAATGACTCACATATCCCAATTTTTAAATAATACTCATAATAGGTAAGAATTGTCAAATAATGATTATATGAATATAATTTTGGATAACCTCTCCCTTTTTTTGGTTGAGAAATACTTAAATAGATCAAATACACCACGTTATTTGTGGTTTATTCAATAAAAATATCACATTTAGATGGCATTAAATATAAATTAATTTTAATATTAATGTTAGTAGGGAAAGGAAAAAATAAGAAATTAAATGTATATTATATTATAAAAATAAAATCAATTTAAAAATGCTATTACTTGGAGTATTTTAATTGAACAGACTATAAATAACATGATATACTCAATCCACCTAAGTATTTCTCTTTTTGGTTACCATTAGCATACAACAGGTAGTTCATCCATTCATATCAACAATTACTTGCGTCTTGGGATGACAAAATTTTATTTGAACCTGGTATACCACACTATTCATGATCCGTCCAATAAAAACAAGATATTTAAATGATATTAAATCTATAATTCATCCAATAAAAGCCATAACATTCAAATCATATTAAATATAAGTTGATTATAGCATTAATATAGTATAGAAAAAATTCAAAAAAAAATAAACAAGCATTCTATTGTAAAAATAAATTTATTAAAAACAATGACACATGACATTTTATTTTATTAAATTGATGTAATTTTATTAAATGAATTATAGATGATGCAGTGCATTGGATGGATCCATCTAAGAATTTATTGCTTCCCTTGAGATTGTTGACAACCTACATGCCATATATAGAATATAAAATAAAAATAAACCATTTTTTACTTAAATTTAATTATTAACGATTCACTCTTTTTTTAACTCAAAACTAAATTATATGAATTATTGATGAATTATTGATGATTTACTCATTGAGCTTGACAACAAATAAAGTTATATGATTTTGTAATGTATAATGAAAAATAACCTTTTGCCTCTTAGAATTGTCTAAAGTTTAATTACTATTTTTGTCTTAAATTAGGCTTTTAAATTTTTTATTAGTTAAAATAATTTTTACATTAAAATATCAAAAATAAAAACTATGTGACATAGACATTAATTTAAATTTTTAAAAATCTTACAAGAGCAATGAGAATTTGATGCTATTGAAAACCAAAAACAAAAAAAAAGGAAAGAAGTTGATTCACATATTCACATAATAATATAAAATTTGAATGCCATATTTTGGTACAATGTAACTTGACAACTAATAATTTTTATCTGCCTCAAAAAATGCAAATTAGATGCATCTTGAGAAAGATGCATATGGTTGCAACGGATGTAAAACAATCATATAAGTAAGTAAAAAAAATAGTTCTCTCCATGCACAACGCATGGGAGTGAGAGTTCTCTCCATGTAGTCACGTAAGAGAATCAGTTGAGTGAGACATTTTTTTGGCGGGAGTGGAGGTTAAGAGGTATAATGGTTATCGAAGTAGTGATCAAAGGGGGTAATAACAATCAGTCTTACTACTGGCAATGGGAATGGCTACATTTAGTGAGAGTGATTTAGCTAATATGATAGTGGAACCTTTGATTTGGAATGTGGAGGAGGTGAACAGTGTTTTGGTTAGCAAGATTTTAGCAGAAAAGGAAGTTCTTCAGGCTACCGTTGAGATTACAATAAGGAAAGCATGGAATCTTTATGCTGGGCTGAATATTACAGAAGTGGCAAAGAATGCTTTCTTGTTCAAATTCACAAGCAATAAAGAATACGATCATATTTTGAGAGGTAAACCATGGTCTTTGGATGGTCAAATATTGAATTTGATAGAGTAGAAGAGGTTCATGGTGCTGGATGAATTGAATTTTAATAAAAGTTTGATTTCAATTCAATCACATGGAGTTCTACTTAAAGCAATGAATCTAGAGAATGCAATTCAGATTAGTAATCATGTTGGTGAAGTAGTAGTGGTTGGGATTATAATCATAATAAGAACTTTTTCCTACGAGTGTGTGTAATTTTGGCTCTAAGGAGACTACTGAGTACTAGTTACTAGAAGCTTGATGTTGATAGTGCATAGGCTTTGATCAAATATGAAAAGCTAAAAGAATTTTGTCATTGTTGTGGTTGTTTTAG